ATCATGACCTGAGCCGAAGGCAGTCGCTTAACCAGCTGAGCCACCCAGGCGCCTGAGTGGCTGACTCTTGATTTCGGCTCAGGTCTTGATCTCAGGGTTGTTAGATTGAGCCCCACTTTGGGCTCCGCACCCAGCGCAGGGTCTGCTTGAGATTCTCTCTGCCTCCCCCTCTGCCCCTCCCTCTCGTGTTCTCTCTCTCTCTCAAATAAGTAGATAAATCTAAAAAAAAAAAAAAAGAAAAAAGAAATTAGATGTTCAGTTTATAAGCCAAAACCTGTTGTTGTGCCCCCTTGAATGAGAAAAATAGGGAAAATATACTCTGTAACTTGGTAATGCAAATAGTAGATGAGCAGCTAATTGGATAACTAGGACTGTTTTTAATTATTCTGTTTTATCTTGGACCTGGAGTATTTATGCTGGCAAGGTCCCTTTGGAAAATCAAGCCAGAGCATGGTGTTGTCACACACATAAATGTAAAAAGCACTTAGTGAGCACTTGGCTCATAAGAGAGTGAATAGGACTAGGCACCACCACACAGAAGAAGTCTAGCTGGGGGCGACCTACTGGGGATGGATGAAGTGTTCTGCACTTTTCACCTCTCAGTTGCTGTTCATAGGACAAGAATTTAGACTAGGAGCAAACTGCCTTTCTGCTAGGAGAGGGGAGAGAGAATCATTTCTGCAGGCCTCAAAGATATAGTTATAGTTAGTACCATATCTGGGTCTAGAGCTCATTTTCCCCCCTTCATTCTTTGCCAGGAGGGCTTCTTCTAGTTGCTGCTCTGCCAATTGATAATCCCTGTATACTGAGCAGATGTCACATCAGATGAAGGCCAGGCCATACTTGTCACTCATTCTAATTATTAATGCCTTTTGCTCATTCACAAAATCAAGGCATAAATCACAGCCAACAAGGGCACTTTGTTTTGATAATTGCTCTGGCTGGAGGATGAATAGTTTTCCTGAACTGTTTTATCTCCCTTTTCACCAGAGATTGAATTTCACTTTTACTCATATGGGGGCCATCAGTTGAATTTATCCAACATTTATAGAGTACCTACTGTGTGCTGGGCAATGGTATACCAAAGAGGAGTAAGAGACAGAACTTAACGTCCAAGGAGCTTATAGCCTGATAGTACAGATCCACACGAATAGAATATTTTAGTAAGATAGAGCAGGTGCTAAGATGGAATTATATACAGATTCCAAATTCTATCTGGCCATCATATTGCGAGCTAAATATTTCTCCCTCTGCTGTCCTTCTCTAAAGCAGTAGTCCACTCAGTTTGTATCTTGTCCAGACTTTTTTTCTGAGATCTCTAGGATCTCCTCCCATAATTCTCCACACTTTCATAAAAAAACTGATGATTGGTTGAAATTAGCTTATGTGGAAAAATTTAACTTTAACTTTGTAATAATCAGAAGTTTGCCCCTTTGACTTCACTTCCTCTAGTCCTCTCGACTCAGTTATATGATCACTTATTCAACAGTTGACAACAGCAGTTCTTCTGTGGGAGGAACTATACACAGTTGACCAATGTGATTATTTACAGAAAATTTTAATGTCCCTAGAAGCTGTTTCTGTTCACTTCTGTCTTTCTAGCAGTGAAACCTCAAGCATCTTACTTTCTAATTGAGTTTTCCAGTAAAGGGAGTTGAGAAAGAACACAAACATTAGTTCAGGGCTTACTGTGTGCCTGACAAAAAGCTAGGGACATTTCACATCTTGTTCTTGTAGGTGACAACAAATGAAGAACAAACTTTCAAGATATTAGTTAACTTTCTCGGAGTCATACATTTTGTCAGCAGAACTAGCATTTGAACTGCTTTTCTGACTAAAGGCACATAAGTGCTCGCAGGGATGCTGGGCAGGAAAAAGCGCAGTTGATGTCCACTGTAGGGTGGAAGTTTAATACTCTAAATCTGACATTGCAATAAGTATTTTGTTTGGCTTCTCTTAAAGAATCGAACAATGTGGGGGTGCCTGGGCAGCTAAGTTGGTTAAGCATCTGCCTTGGGCTCAGGTCGTGATCCCAGGGTCCTGGGATCAAGCCCCAAGTTGGTCTCCCTGATCGGCGGGGAGTCCGCTTCTCCCTCTGTCTCTCACTCGTGCTCTCTCTCTCTCAAATGAATAAATAAATATTAAAAAAAAAAAAGGAAACAAACAATGTGGAAACACGACTACCTGGCTGGAGTTCGGCAGTGGCTCCTTCTTTTATGGGCTCACTCCCCAGCCTGCTTCATTCATTCTCAATAATTGGCAAGAATCTCTGGGCGTTTGAGTGTGGGACCCTTCCTCTAAGCAGTGTGGGTTACCAATGCAGTTATCAGCAAGTGGATCATTAGTTCAGCCATAACTGTAGGTTCTACGTAAGCCTCTGCTGACGTCATTTTATTTTTATTTTTTTTATTTTTATTAT